GCTTCTGGTCAATCAGCCCCCCCAGGGCCTTCTCCTCAGGGCTGCTCTCCAGCCATTCCCCGCCCAGCCTGGAGTTGAGCTTGGGATCACCCCGACCCAGCTGTAGGACCTGCACTTGGCCTTGTTGAACTGCATGAGGTTGACATGGGCCCACCTCTCCAGCCTGTCCAGGTCCCTCTGGATGGCATCCCATCCCTCCCCTCCAGCGTGTCCACGTCACCACACAGCTTGGTGTCATGGGCAAACTCGCTGAGGGTGCACTCCATCCCACTGTCTACTGTCAAGATGTTGAACAGCACTGGTCCCAGTATCGAAGCGTTGAGGGATTTTGGCATTTGCCTCTCGTTACAGGCCGGGCTTTGGTGATCAGCCCCCGCAAGAGAAGCGTTTCTCAAACAGCTGAGATTTGCTGAGAGCTCAGGGATTTGCGAAGGAGAGCGGGGGGACATGTGGCATCCTCCTCTTGGGAGCGGTGCCTCTAATTGGGAGAGGGATATAAGGGATGGAGTCAGAGCCGGTGTTGCCTTCGTCAGGCTGAGAGCCGATGGCCTCAGCTCTCCCAAAGGTCATTAAGACGAAGGAGGCATTAAATTCAACAAAGTGGTGAGAACTTGGGTTTGGGCTGGAGCAAAGAAACCAGGACTGTGTGCCGGCAGGAGGCACCAGGCGGTGGAGGCTGACGGAGCGTGGTGAGCACCGGGGTCAGGTTGGCTTTGTCCCCCTGGTGTCGTCCGGGGAAGGAGAAAGTGCCCCGTGGGTGCTGTCACCCCGGTCCTGCCTCCTCGGGGGCCAAACGAGCTGAGGAAGGGAAACGCCTGAGTAAAACGCAGGTGATTTCTCCCTTCTTCATCGCAGGGCGCCTTACAGCAGGGTTGAGGTACAGACGGTGTCTTGCTGTGTCTGCGGGTCCCAGCAGCCACCCCAGCCGCGTTCTTCCTTTCCAGTGAGCGACCCGGAGATGTGCTATGTGGGCACCGAGCCCTGGAAGCCCAAGGAGGCTCTGCAGGATGACGGCGTCATCACCGACAAGGCCGACATCTTCGCTTTCGGGTTGACGCTCTGGGAAATGATGACCCTCTCCGTGCCCCACCTCAACCTGGACGATGACCTCGATGACGAAGGTTTGTCTCTGTACTTTGCCCGGTGAGGAACTTCTGCTCCTAGAAATCCTTTCTTCTTTTAATAGGGTTGATTTTTTCCAGCGTGTCGGTACCCCCAAAAAGCTGGGTGTCCCTTGGGTGCCATCCGAAGGGCTTTCCAGTGTCACTCTGCGCCTGCTGCCTCTCCGCACAGGGACATCACCGGGGAGTTCGCTACAGCACCGAGGTGCTCAGCACCACGCCGAAGCCGCTCAGCGGCGGGCGCTTGGCGGCGGTGGTCGGTGTTTGTGCATCGCTTTCAGCTTCATTTAGCTTTTTAACTCCAAAGGAGAAGTTGATAAACGATGGTAACTAATCATTGCGACCCAGCGCTCTTTGTGAGCGCTCCAGCTGCTTCTCCACCGGCTGGAAAGAGCTCCTGGAAATTCTGCCGCTCGTCAGCGCGGTTCGGTAGGCTTCAAAGATGTCCCCGAGCCTGACTGCTGCTCCCCCGAGCGCCCCGCGGTGCGCTCGGACGTCCTCCGGCTCCGTCCCACCTCCTTTGCTGTCGGGGCAGCGTAGGAGCCATCTGCCAGGCGGTAGCTGCGTGGTGGATGCTGCTGAGATACCACCGGAACGATGTGGCCAGAAAAGCTTGAAATGAGATTGTGCTCGAAATGGTGCACAGTAAACTCTTAACCCAACACTGCCCAGCCCACCGCTAACCACGTCCCTCAGCACGTCTGCCCCTCTGTTGAACACCTCCCGGGATGGAGCCTTTAAGGTCATCAAGTCCAACCATCAACCTGGCACTGTCCAGCCCACCACTAACCCGTGTCCCTCAGCACCACGGCTGCCCCTCTGTTAAACACCCCCAGGGATGGCGACTCCAGCCCTGCCCTGGGCAGCCTGTGCCAGTGCTGGACAACCCTTCGGGTGAGGACATTTCTCCTCATCTCCACCCTAACCCTCCCCTGGTGCAACCTGAGGCCGTTCCCTCTCGTCCCATCGCCTGTTCCTGGGGAGCAGAGACCGCCCCCCCTCGCTGCCCCCTCCTTTCAGGGCGCTGTAGAGAGCGAGAAGGTCTCCCCTCAGCCTCCTCTTCTCCAGGCTGAGCACCCCCAGGGCCCTCGGCCACCCCTCACCAGATGTGTCCTCCAGACCCCTCACAGCTCCGTTGCCCATCTCTGGACACGCTCCAACACCTCAATGTCATGTCATGAGGGGCCCAAAACTGAACACAGCACTGGAGGTGGGACCTCACCAGTGCCCAGTACAGGGGGACCATCACTGCCCCAGTCCTGCTGGCCACACTCTTCTTGACACAGCCCAGGATGCTGTTGGCCTTCTTGGCCACCCCTCGTTTGGAGTTACACTGAGCAGACGAGGCGGGGGGAGTGGATGGGATGGGGCAGGGGATGCTCGAGCTGCCTGCGGGCAGATCTGTGCCCTGGTGCGATATAAAGCGATATAAATCCTCCGGACTGGGCAGGGAAAACTCTTGCTCCCGCCTGCACGCTGGCACCAACCCGCGGGCTGGTTTGTGTTTTCTACCTCGGTCTCCAGGCAGCTGGGGGGGGATTTTTCTTCACTCTCCTGCTCTCGGTTTCTCTTGGCTGCAGAGCTTCTTCCCGGCCAACTCGGCAGGGGTGACTCAGAGTTATTCTGCTGGGAGAACGGGGTTAGATACAGCTTCAAAATAAGCAATTTAAGTCAAAGTAATGATGTAGCCCAGGCAGGAATTAGTGCTAACAAAGGAATAGCAAAGCTGACGTGAAGGTCATGTCCCACCACACCCTTGCAAGGCAGGACGTGGGGGCACTGGTGGACAAAAAGTGGGACATGAGGCGGCAACGTGCGCTGGAGCCCAGCGAGCCCCCGGCACCCCGGGCTGCATCCCCAGCAGCGTGGCCAGCAGGGCGAGGGGGGATTGTGCCCCTCTGCTGCGCTCTGCTCTGGGGAGACCCCCCTGCAGTGCTGCCTCCAGCTCGGGGGGTCCCACCAGCAGAAGGACATGGACCTGCTGGAGCACGTCCAAAGGAGGCCACAAAGATGCTGCAAGGGCTGGAGCCCCTCTGCTGGGAGGACAGGCTGGGAGAGTTGGGGGGGTTCAGCCTGGAGAAGAGAAGGCCAAAAAGGGGAGAGCTCAGAGCCCCTTCCAGTGCCTAAAGGGGCTCCAGGAGAGCTGGGGGGGACTCTGGGTCAGGGAGGGGAGCCGTGGGACGAGGGGGAATGGTTTGATGCTAGAAGAGGGGAGATTTAGACGAGATCTGAGGGATAAATCCTTTCCTGTGCGGGTGGTGATCCCCTGGGGCAGGTTGCCCCGAGAAGCTGTGGCTGCCCCATCCCTGGAGGTGTTCAAGGCCAGGTTGGACGGGGCTTGGAGCAACCTGGGCTGGTGGGAGTTGTCCCTGCCCAGGGCAGCGGGGTGGACAAGATGATCTTCAAGGTCCCTTCCAACCCAAACCATTCCATGATGGATGAGGGTCAGCCAGGAAGCAAAGCCCCATGCTGGAAGGGAGAAGAGCAGTTTCCAACTCCCTTCCCACCACCTTTTCTCCGTTTCAGATGAGTCTTTCGACGAAGACTGCTTTGACGAGGAAGCTTATTACGCAGCCCTGGGAACCCGCCCAGCCCTCAACATGGAGGAACTGGATTCTTCCTACCAGCACATGATCGACCTCTTCTCTGTCTGCACCAGCGAGGACCCCAAGAAGCGTCCCTCGGCCGCGTGCATCGTGGAAGCTTTGGAGGCAAGTCTGGCCCAGGAGTAAAAGCATCTTAAAACCAGAACCTCAACTCGTTAAGCACTAACCCCCGGTTTAAGGAGATTGTTCTCCATCGTTTCGAGAGCAGCAATCCCCTCCTGCCCTGTACCTAAGTCTTAAATAAGCTACCTGCTCTTTGCAATAGTTGTCCTTTTAGTGGTCGTGTTAAAGCTTCCCTTCCCTCTCTCTTTGTGTTGAATTAACAACAGTTTTGGGGACCAAGATGTTAAAAATAAATATTTTTTTTTGGTTTTTTTTTCATCTCAGTGTGAAAGTGGTGCTTTTTTCCCCTCCTAGGGAGTGGCTGCGTGTCTCAAGGAAAAGGTTTCCAGGCTGTGACGCAGAATCATACCACGGTAAAACACTATAGGATCAAGAAAAAAAAAATAAACAACAGTCTCTTGAGCACTTATTAAAGAAAACCCCGGTGGTTGGGGGAAATTCCTGCCCATAGCTGGCTGGAGACAAAGAGATTGCAACACATCCTTGTCCTGTTCCCCCCACCACCACGCAGCCGCTGCTACCTTCTCACATTCGGAGAGCTTTGGGAAGCGTTCCATCGCTTGTGCGCACAGAAACGAGCTCGAGCAGCAGCGTTTCACACTTTTTATTGAGCAGGCGGTCCCGTCCCCCCCCGTGACAGCTTCCCCGGCAGCACAACACCGTCAGGGCTCCAGGCCTCAACCACGGCGGGGAAATCCTGCCGCGCCGCAGTCGTTTTAAGGCATCTCATACTCTGTGCATAAATTTGGCAACTGCTCGTTGCGCGAGTTTAGCGACTCCCCACCGTTTACAGCGCACACAGGGGGGGAGAGCTCCGAGTGACATACCCGCCCATCAGGGAGAAAACGGCCATCTTTATATTAATTAAACCTTTTAAAGAAATTAAGTTACTTGCGATAAAATTTAGTTTCAGAAGACACAAACCTACCTGAAATCCAAGCAAGGTTCCACAACATACATGAAAATACGACACAACTCTGTACACAAAGTGACACGCTCTCCCCGCCGGCTCGCTCACGGCGGGAGGAAGCGCTAGCGCTCAGCAGGAGAACAGCGTTTAGCCGGCTAACAACGCTCGAGTGTTAATCTAAAACATCAAATCACTTCAGACGCTTTCAACAAACCTCAACTTGCCAATAATGGAGTCCAATCAGTTGCTATAAATAAAATTGTAAACGAGGAAGCGAGGGGTTTGGCAGTATTTCGTGGCGAACAGCTTGCCGTCCGGCGTCGGGTCGGAGAAGGCGATGTCGTCGGTGCTCAGGTAGCAGCCGTACATGAAGGTGCTCCTGAAAGAGAGAGCGGAGTTATCGGGGCGCTGCAGCCAACCGGCCGCTTTCAGCGGCGGCGGCGGCGTTCCCCTCCCCCCTCAGCCCGCCTCGGCCACGCTGCTGTTACTTCTTCTGTCGCTTGGGCTTTCAAACCAGAGAGGATTGCTTGGAGATGCCAGTTTGCCCTCTCGGATTCCGGTGTACCCAGGGAGAAGGCGGCATTTTAAAATTAGCAAAAAGGATAATTAGGACGAGGGGTAATGGGCAAAAGCTTGACCATAGGAATTTCCCTCTTAACATGAGGAGGAACTTCTTTACTTTGAGGGTAGTGGAGCACTGGCACAGGCTGCCCAGAGAGGTGGTGGAGTCTCCCACTCTGGAGACATTCCAAACCCGCCTGGACGCCGTCCTGTGCAACCTGTTGTAGGTGCCCCTGCTCTGGTGGGGGGGTTGGACTAGATGATCTCCAGAGGTCCCTTCCAACCCTAACAGTGCCAGGACTCTCGTGGGCACCCACAGGTCCCCCAGCTCCAGCTGGCTCACACGGCATGCAGGTCTGGAAGGCGGCACGGAGGCGGCACATCTACGGGCACATCAAACGTTAACCACAGGAGGAACCGGAGACAGAACACCGGTTGGGGAATTTTCAGAATACTGAGCTCCAGATACAGTGATGCGTGATTAGAAATATATAAAAATATACACATATAGAATCACAGAATGGTTTGGGTTGGAAGGGACCATTAAAGACCATCTAGTTCCACCCCCTGCCCCGGGCAGGGCCACCTCCCCCCAGCCCAGGTTGCTCCAAGCCCCGTCCAACCTGGCCTTGAACACCTCCAGGGATGGGGCAGCCACAGCTTCTCGGGGCAACCTGCCCCAGGGGATCACCACCCTCAGCGTAAATAAATTCTTCCTTCTATCTACTCTAAATCTCCCCTCTTTCAGTTCAAAGCCATTCCCCCTTCTACTCATATTCTTTGTATGTCTGCAATTGGTATACGTATGGCGAGCAGATATGACCCAAAGAAGACATGTGCTACTACGGGTTCACGAACGGCCACGCTCCCCCTCATATAACAGACGAGGGGAAATTTTTAAGTCTTCCTCCCAGTTTGGTCCAAGCTTTTCATGCTCGGAATTTTCCGCCTGGGAAAAACCAAGTGTTTGGGCCCATCAACTTGTCCATTAAAAAAAAAAAACCCAAAACAATATTCTTTCCCCAACAAGCACGGTTTCTCTTGGAAAATCCAGTCTGTAGCTCTGTGTTCCAGTTATACACAGCAGCCAACAGCTTGGGCCACACTTGTGTCAGATTTTAAATTAAAATATTACTTAAATGTTAGATATATATAGAATATCTGTCCACTTGATATCCTTCCCCTATGAAGTGGGGATTTCAGACTTGCTTAATGATACAGACTCCCAGACTGGTGGGGGTCGGAAGGGCCCTCTGGAGCTCCCCCATCCCACCCCCCGCCAGAGCAGGGGCACCTCCAGCAGTGGCACAGGACGGCGTCCAGGCGGGTTTGGGATGGCTCCAGAGGGGGAGACTCCCCCACCTCTCTGGGCAGCCTCTGCCACTGCTCTGCCGCCCTCACAGCAGAGAAGGCCCTCCTCAGGTGGAGATGGAACTGCCCATGGTCACCTTTGTGCCCGTTCCCTCTTGTCCTGTCACTGGGCACCACTGGAAACAGACTGTCCCCATCCCCCGGCACCTCCCTTGAAGGATTGATCAGCGTTGATGAGATCCCCCTCAGTCTTCTCTTCTCCAGACTGAACAGCCCCACGTCCCTCAGCCTTTCCTCAGCAGAGAGATGCTCCACTCCCCTCAGCATCTCCGTAGCCCTTTGCTGGACCCTCTCCAGCAGTTCCCTGTCCTTCTTGACCCGGGGAGCCCCGAACTGGACACAGCGCTCCAGATGTGGCCTCCCCAGGGCAGAGCAGAGGGGGAGGATGACCTCCCTCGCCCTGCTGGCCACGCTCTGCTTGATACAAATTTATCCCTTTCCATAAGTTCCTTCTAAACACTTGTGGCTACAACCATCATTTCCCCCCTCCCCAAGGACAAACCCCAGCTGGGATCCCGGCTGTCCTCTCATCGTTCCCTACCTGACCACGTCCACCATGCGCCGGGCGATGCCCTTCCCGCGCCTGGGGCCGAACACCCAGATCCTGCTGATGCCGCAGACGGCGGGTTCCGGCTCCGTGGAGCAGCGCCAAGCCCGCTGCTGCTGCAGGGCGTCCTGGCCAGGCGACAGCACGGCTCCCGGCTCAGACAGCACCCGGAAAGCCTGCAGGGACGAGCAGAGGCGTCAAACCCTTCCTTCCCCACGGGACGCAGAGCCTCAGGCCTCCCCGCCCTCCCCACCTTGCCCTCTGCTCTCTTACAAGGCAGCCCACCACAGAAACCAGCACCCAAACCCGGGGCTCAGGGCAGGATCAGCCCGGCAAACTCAACTAACTCCCGTCAGCCACGCTACACCGTGACAAAAGCCCGAGTTTTTCCTTAATTTCTTTTTCTCTGTTGTTTTTGGGGGTGGTTTTTTGTTTGTTTTTTCATTTCCCTACTTTTATTTGGGTGGAGGGTTTCTGTCTTTTCATTTCCTTACTTTTATTTAGGTGGGGGTTTTTCTGTTTTTTCATTTCCCTATTTTTATTTTCCCCTCCTCATGCCCTAAGCCAGGATTTCCCCTGCACAGGCTTACACAAACAGCCCCCGTTATTAGCCTGCAGTTTCACCCCCTCCCCACACAATTAATAACACACACCCGTTTGATTGATTCAGCCACTAAGCACCCAACAATCATCTTCTCGGTGGACACAAACAAGTAGATTTTAGTCTTGGCCGGGCAGCTCAGAGAAACTTGCTTAAATCCCAGTTCGTTATCTACGATTTCTCGCACGTCTTCTGCCTAAGAAAACAAAACCGGAGAGAGGTGCGTTAGGAACCAACACGCACGTTCTTTGGCGTGAGAGCTGTCAGCGAGGGGACTCAGTCCCTCAAATCATCCTCTGCTTACACAAGATCAGAATCACAGAATGTTCCGAGTTGGAAGGGACCTCTCGAGACCACCCAGCCCCACTCCCCTGCTAAAGCAGGACTGCCCAGAGCACATCCCTCAGGACTGCATCCAGGCGGGTCTTGAAAACCTCCAGAGAAGGGGACTCCACCCCCTCCCTGGGCAGCCTGTGCCACTGCTCTGTCACCCCAACCCTAAAGAAGGGTTTCCGTCTGTTGGAACGGAACTTCCTCTCTTCCAACTTGTGCCCATCGCCCCTCGTCCTGTCCCTGGGAACCACCGAGAAGAGTCTGGCTCCATCCTCCTCCAACCCCCCCTTTAGATACGTGTATGCCATAATAAGGTCTCCCCTCAGCCTTCTCCTCTCCAGGCTAAAGAGTCCCAGCGCTCTCAGCCTCTCCTCACACGGGAGATGCTCCAATCCCTCAGTCATCTTGGTTGCCCTTCGCTGGACTCGCTCCAGCAGTTCCCTGTCCCTCTTGAACTGGGGAGCCCAAAACTGGACACAGTATTCCAGTTGTGGCCTCACCAGTGCCGAGTAGAGGGGGAGAATGACCTCCCTCAACCTACTGGTCACACTCTTCCCTATGCAGCCCAGGATGCCATTGGCCTTTTTGGCCACCAGGGCACATTGCTGCCTCATGGATAATTTACTGTCTAACGGGACCCCCAAATCCTTCTCCTCAGAGCTACTTCCCAGCAGGTCCACCCCTAACCTATACTGGTGCCAGTATAGGCTCTAACTGTGAAGAGAACACTGAAGAACTGGCTCTCATTCGTGGCTTCATCCCTCTACACCTCTCGCAGAGCACAACTGCCTCTCACTCCACTCCTTGGGACGGAAAGGATGGGGCTGTGTCGGTCAGGTAAGATGAAGAGGGTCAGGGCAGGGAGCAGGGTTAGGATGGGTCAGGGCGGGTGTCCGCAGCGACCCGCGCTGCTGCCGCAACCCCGCTCGGCTCTCCCACGCACTGGGAAGCGATGTACGGTCACACACCGAGGGAGTGCCGGGAGCTGAGCCAGCAGAAAGCTAATCTCCAATACAACCCCCAAAATAAATAAACATGTACCTTCTTGACGGCATATTTTGGGTCATTTGGAAGAATCAATACAATTTTCCCATCCCAGAACTCTGCCACAACCCGTTCTTTCTTCCAACCCTGCCACAGAGGGAGAAAAAAAAAAAAAACCAACAACAAACCCAAACAAACAACAAGTTAGCGGTCTAGCAAGGGAGAGGAAGTGATTCAGCGAAGATTCTGGCAGCTGAAGCTGTAATCTGAACTACTTCAGCTTTCAGGAATAAAGTCACATTCATCAAACTGATGAGGGCAGACAGTTGCTGGAACTGCTTAACTTACACTTTAACCTCCCCTCTGGATGACAAACGTTTGCCTGCGGCTGTCTCGCCTGCGTACCTGGATATCCCCCACCGCTTCCCCTCATCCTCTTCAGCCGAGCTGCCGGCGCAGCCGTCGCCTTACCACGTATCGGAGTCCCTCCAGGAACCTCTCGTGGTGCTGGATGTGCTGGGCTTCATCCTCCGGGCTAGCCGCCGTGTAGATCATGCCGCACGACTTGCAAACTACGGCACCAAAATGCTTCTGACCGGCATCCTAGTGAGAAACAAAGCCGGTTAAGTGCCCCGAAGCTGTTCAAAACCACCTTCGGTTTAAGGAATGAGGTTGAGAATTGGTCCTAGTAACAATAATCAAAAGATTCAAGTATTTGTTTTCACCTGAATTTGTGAAGAGGACAAGCTTTTGCTTATTTGCAGAATATTCGGAACTACAGAGCACTAAATTATCCAGGGAACACAAGAAATGCATCACTTGGAATGAACCTCAGAACAGATAAGCAACATCCTCACTGAGGAAACAAGAGCATCACAAAAAAAAACCAAAAAGCAAAGGAAAACTCTATTGTCCTTTCATCAGTCACCTAAAAATAACCTCAGTTTTATCTCTCTCAGCACACGGGGAAGGGAAGAGAAGGAATCAAACACCAGTTGTGCGAGCGAACAGCAGATTGATGTTTAAGTGGAGCCTAGTTTGTTAAGGACTCATCTTATTTCCCTGCACTGGCTGCTTTCCCTTCCCCGCGTCCCGGTTTGGGCTTTCCCCGTGTGTCACAGCACCCACGGTCTGTCCCTCGTGGGGCCGGCAGCCGGACACCCAGCCGAGCCGTGGCGGGCAGGGCTGGAGCTCGTGGCTCGCCAGCCAGCCGCCTTCCTCTCAGCGCAGGCGCTCACCCGGGTTTCTCCCTTCCACGGGGACCGGCTTTCAAAACACTCAAAAAGAATCTGTATCTGTGAGGTCTCCAATTTGACAGAAATCATCCAAACGACTCAAAAGGCGTTAAAAAGGGCAGATCGGCAGACGAGAACGATCACAGAAGCGCCGCTCCCTCAGGAAACGGGCTTGGAAACGTCTGCATGTCACCAAGTGAGAACAAATGGTTTACTAAAAAAAACTACTCATCGCTGAGGGCGTATTTTCTGGAAACCCGTACACACGATGGCTACATGACACGAGAGCCTCAGTAACGCTCTCTGGTCTCCTCCCGGCTCCAAAATCAGTACTCCGCACTGAAGGGCGACAGCGGAGGTGAAGCTACAGAAAGGGCACCCGCTCGTTACCGGAGTCAGCTCCGTTCGGGCTCAGCTCTCGGTGGCACGTTCCTGCTCCCGGTGCTGCCCCGGCTGACGTTTGCCGCTGTGGTTGCGGTGCTGCGCTGACGCCGCTCGTAGAGCGAGCCAGGAAACCACGGGAAGGGAAAAGGATCCAGCCAAATGCACTCCTATAGCATGGATACAGGCTTGGCCAAGTTTCCCTTTGGGTGGTTTTTTTTGGGGTGGTTTTTTTTTTTTTTAGTATTATGTTCCATAAATCTCTTTTGAATTCTAAAATGTAATAAAGCGTTAGTCCCAGGGAAACCATAACAATGTATTTCCCAGCTACTACTACCACGTCCTCGTCTAGTGCTAAATGCGTTAATCACCACCTCGTTACGGTCGTGGCAGCGCGGTTCGTTTGAGGTTTAGCCGTAAGGAAATCTACTTATCGGTTCGCCTGAAGACACGGTATTTCTTGTTTCCAGCCCACGGCCCCAGCGCGCCCCGAGGGGGAACCTTACAATGATCATCTGATCTCCGGAGCGCTTGCAGAGCTCTTTCGCCTTCTTGCTTTTCTGCGAGGTGTGAGATGTTTTCGCAGGTGGGTTGGACCCAAACGCCGAAGTCAGTTCATCCGGCGCAGCCTGCGTCCTGAAAAACCAATTTCAGAGAGATGAAAATTAGACACCGCAGACAAAAGTCAACGTTATATGTCGGGTACCAGGGCCGGGTGGTGACTCCTATGGCAGAACACCCAAAATGAATCCAGGTACAGCAAAGCTCGTGACTGCTGTGGTGTCAGCTCCTCCGGGGGAGGGAGGGAAGGAGATGGTCTCGAGGAAGAGCCACAATTCCACCAGAAGTTAAATAACTCTTGATTAAGCCCCTTTCCCGCTTCCCCAGCCATCTCATTCCCAGGATATTGGAAATTGAGCAGCTCGTTGAACAGTCAAAGGGGAACACAACGAAGGGAGAAGCAGAGCGCCAGGTCCGTGAAGTATGGAGACTGCGGGTGAAAAAATCGGTGTCCAAGCCCAGCGGCTCCCTCCTCAACCCGCTGCTTACGTGCGCCCAGACATCCGCAACGCTCCTGCGCAGGCTCAGAGTTTTCGGCAGCAAGCTGCTCCGCTCCGGCAATCTTGCACCTGACTCTAACTGGGATCCAAAAAACTCAAAGTCTCCCCTAAAGCACAACTCCAGGCTGGGCAGGGAATGGCTGGAGAGCAGCCCTGAGGAGAAGGCCCTGGGGGGGCTGATTGACCAGAAGCTC